ATGGTTGCAGCTTTGCAGGCACCAACCAAACTATTTTGCATCTTTTATTCAAGCTTCTGAAGAACCTGAGGTTTCAGTCATAAAAAAAGAATCTGAGGTTGTTCGAGATTCTCTAGTGTGGACTTTGTATTCAAGCCTTCGTTTCATTTATGACATTGCTTTTCTACACTTTTGCTTATGGTTTTAATACAGTGTCTGTACTCATGTACAATCTTTTGTTTTTGCAGATTTTCTTTGTACCGTCTGGTTGTTCGTTTGGTTCCCATAATCATATGGTACGTCAAAAGAAAGAAATGACTAAATTATTAGTTATGAGATTCATAAAACAGAGTGATGGCAATTAAGAGATTACATGTTTGATTTTGGATTTGTGGTTTTTCTTCTAAGAAAACTCAAATCTGCTCAGGAGAATGAGGTGACTAATGATTTCCCCTCGGTTATGCAGGAATCTTTTTAACTTGTTTTACAGATAAACGGGTGGATGGCAACAATTAGGGTGCTGCTAAAATTGCTAACAGTGGCATCTTTGTTCAATGTTATGCTACCGACTCACACAAACCACAAGTAGAAAGGATTACAAGGACGCAAATCACTTCTTGTCATGTCCTTTTCCAGTCATAGTCATGAATACCTGTCTCCTATTGTCTTGTCCACAACTGATGGAAATACTAGTGTTTTGGATATTGATTCATAGATAGCGTGAAATTAAGGTGTTAATTTTCATGCTTTCTAATAGACAAATCCAATAAATTTTTGTTGCAACACTTGTATTATAATTCAACTCTGGCAACACGAGACAAATGATACTCTAGTCCATAGTCAAACTCAGATAGATTTTGTTGTAAACAACATTGAAGCTACTTCTATGCTTCTGTCTTAAGATTTGCTCAAAAAAACCTTCAGTGATATGTCCATAACCAGAGTTTGCCACCAAGGATAATAAGAAACTTCATTCCATAGAAAGTCTCCCATCTCATGTTATAGTCATGCTTAACATCTTGCTTGTATTCTAGTGATTACTGTTCGCTGATCCCCATACAATATACCATACATATGATTGTTTTCGAATGAAGTATTGTTGCAAAGAAAAGCAAAAGACCTGCTTAAGGAGTTTATTTCCAACAGTCAATTATAGCACATAGCTCCAAAATTTTTTGAAAAACATTTTGCATATCAGATTATTTTTCTAAGGAAGATTGAATCAACATATATCGATTCCAGATAAAGATGGATCTCAGTAATGACAACATCATCATCAGAAACAAGCCTTCCAACTTCAACTGTATTGTTGAGGGACCTCCCGTGCAAGCTTATCCATGAATTGGAATTTCTTGTCAAATCCTCAACCAGGGTTGCTCTGCATTGTAATGTTAACAGCAGATGGTAAACATTTCATGTAGATCATCATGATTTAACCAGTATACAAAGCAACTTCAAGATCGAGACAGGAAAGAACGATGAGAGTGACTACTGACCTGCAGGGAAAGAACTGAACGATTGGCAAATTGCTTCACAGAAGCAGGCGCACTGTTAGGAATGTTTTTGGCAACTTTTTCTAGCTCCTCTTGCTGTTTCTTTGCTGTAATCCTATCAGGTCGACAGTACTGATCAATAACCTTTTCCCATAGCAGGACCCTCTCAATCACTTCTTTGACAGCTTCCTGAAAACCAATAACAAACACCAAACAACTTTCAAACCCAAGTGATAATACTAAAATCATTATTGGAAAAAAAAAAATCCATAATACCAACTCTAAAATGGTTCAGCATAAATGTTTAACTCATTAAAGTATTCAATTGTAGTTCAAACTGATTAGACACATCGGTTCCTTGCTCATTACATTGTTAATAGGATCTCTATTGTATCATGTAATTAAATAAAGTGCTGACAGCCACACTGAGAAGCCTCACCAGTATGAGGCAAGATTTCATAAGTAGAAAGGGCACAATAGAAGAATCATGCCATTAATTTGGCTAACAGAAGTTGAGATTTCAATAAAATAAAATAGTCTTCCTAATTTTACACAATTCATAATATTCCAATTATTTCAATAGCATTCTGTGCATATCTTTGCAGGTTTTTGATACAACTTTTCCCATTGGTTATTTTATTTTATTTATTTTTTGTTTTTTATATAATTAATTTCTTCTACCCTGTGCATTTAGCCAGCACCAGCAGTACAAGAGATCTGTTTCACAAGATACATGAAGCCCGCAGTTCTCTTTTTCTTTTTCTTTTTCTTTTTCTTGTCTTTGCTGGAATAACTAGCATAACCGGAGCATTTAAACTCTTGCATATTTGCAGCGAAAGATGGATATTCAAGAAAAGACACACCAAACACTGTTCAAAGTGATAGGAATACCAAAAAATCAACTTCGAGGATAAAATCTATTAACCATATTTCAAAAGCAACAGCATATACCTCCCATTCTTCTTGACTTTGAATTCCATCATATGCCATCAGGAAGGGCTTTGCCTTCTCAACAAACTTATCAACTAGACCCCCAACCCCAGCCAAACTCAAAATATGAGGTTAAAAAAAGAAAAATTGATAATACAATACCTACAAAACTATATTATAATTTAAACTCAACGCAAGCCAAGTCAAGCCAAATGGTCAGGTATGTGTCATCTAATTAAGATCTCTTGACCCACCTCTTTTTGAGTGAATATGGGTTTCTTTTATTACTTTTCATTAAAAAATTTTACTTTATTTTTTCTTCCTGTCAGCAGAAATTTTTGCATTACACACGAATGAGAAAAAAAATAGTTTAAATAACCAAATATGCAAATTTTATTCTATCCAGCAATACTCCATCAAACACAGTGCTAATTACTTCAATAACTTTCTAGAAACACCTCGATATACCAAGTAAAAGATAATAGAATTTTCAGCCAAAAGGTTGACTCATGCAGAACTGAAAACAGATTTTCATTCTAAGAACATGCCACAGCAAAATCCAACTATCAAATGGCAAACAACTACAGAGCCCAACCATTCTCAATAACAAGTTAATGATTCACTTCACCAACTTCAACCATTCTCAATAGCATTGAAAGAAATGCTAAAAGCAAAAGGACAAACACAAATATGGAAAACAATTAGTCATGGCTCATGACGGGTAGAGATCAGAAAAGGCATGAGCTTGTGTTGCTTTTTGGATCATTTGAAATGTAACTTGCTTATAGATTCAAAAAAGAACTCACCCCATCATCACCAATTGCCCTCTTTGAAATTTTAACTTTTTCACTCTTGGAAGAAAAAGGCAGTGGAATAAGAAAGAAGATTGAAGGCTTCTGTTAAAGATTATTCTGAACCTAGCAGGAAGAGCCAAAGGCAGCATTGTTTGCAAGGTGCAAGAGTTTGAGGTAAAGAGGGCCAAATGGGTGAATTTATAGGGAGGGAGGACGGTGTGTGCTTGTGTGCTCGGCAGAGATGTTGATAGGGGATGCATGAGAGAAATGAGCTGTATGGAGTGCACTTGGCTTTCTTTCTTCTTCCTTAGATGGAAACTTCTCTCCCTTTTTTTTTGCCTATCTTCTTTTGTTCATTATAGGCAAAAGAAGGCTCCATAGTTCATTTCAATTTGATCAAATTTCAGTGAAGTATGAGTTGATTTAAGGAACACCCTGTTTTAGTTAGAAATCATATAGTTTATTTACAAGAAAAATGCTTAAAATGGGAGGGGGATCATTGAAACTTAGGATTTGGAATAGGATCATGGAAAGAGAAGGTTAGTTTTTTGATATCCATTTAGGGTTGAAGTTTTTCATTAAGATTCATTAGTAGATTTTCATTTACAGGAATTTGTTAACCGTTAAGTAGTTTTCCATTATGAAAAGTTTAGCCAACTAGTTAGTTTTTCGTTAAGAAAAGTTCATTAAGTACATTTCTTTAGAAGAGTCCCTTAAGTAGTTCCTCAAATTATTCATTCTCAAGAAGAGTTTGTTGAATAGTTCCTTGGCTAGAGAAAATTGATTTAATAACCATGACAGGTGATACAATAGGGATGGTGCTTCCCTTCTCAAATCCTCTCCACCCACCCAAGGATTC